TCAGATTCCACTTTCCCTCACTGCTTTTGTAAGAATATATATATATATTTTTTTACATTTACTGGTTTATTATTAAAAAAATATGGCAAAGGATACAGATGAACATCCGGGTGAAAGAAATGCGCAGGGCAAGGTACGTGGGAAAGAGTGTGGAGCTCCGTGTCCTCTCCGGGCTTGCCAATCTCCCAGCACCTCCACATGGTCCCCAACCCGGAAGCTCCAGAAGGATATTTTCATAGCAGATTGAACGGTGAGGGGTAACTATTATGTATTTATGGAACCACAGACGCACATACATATATTTGTTTATATTAAATTAAAAGATAATTTTCAGGGTTTTATCTTGACAGGTCAAAAATTAAATTATTTAATTATAGCATTCAAAATAAAAAAAAGAAGCCACAGGGGCTGGCCTGGTGGTGCAAGTGGTTAAGTGCGCATGCTCTGCTGCAGCAGCCCGGGGTTTGCTGGTTCGGATCCTGGGGCGCACACCGATGCACCGCTTGTCAAACCATGCTGTGGCGGCGTCCCATATAAAGTGGAGGAAGATGGGCATGGATGTTAGCCCAGGGCCAGTCTTCCTCAGCAAAAAAAAGAGGAGGATTGGCAGATGTTAGCACAGGGCTGACCTTCCCCCCCCCAAAAAAAGCCACCACAATTTGGGAGAATATTTAAATAAGGTTATAAACCTGGGCCAAGTGAAGAGCTGGAAAAAATAAGAAATCCAGCCACTATAAAAGAGCTCTACCACGGTTGCTTATATCAAATAGCTCCCCTTGAATAGAAGTACACCTTAGTGGTTACCAGAGGGGAAGTGGCAATGGAGAGTGAAGGGTACATGTGTATGGTGACAGAGGGTAGTCTTTGCATGGTGAACATGATGTAGTCTACACAGAAACTGAAATATAATGATGTACACTTAGAAATTATATAATGTTATAAACCAATGATATCTCAATAACAAAAAGAAAAGAAAAGGAAAGTAAATCTAAAAAAAAGAAAAGAGAAGTAGTACACTTTAACATCCTGGATACCCGGTAGCCAATTATGTTTTATTCAGTCATTCAAAAACCACTTATGGAACACCAACCATATGTCAGGAAAAGCACTACTATAAGTGCTAGGGATACAAAGACTAACAAAAACAAGGCCTTAGCCTTGCATAAGTTCATATATTGCACTGTATCAGTGCTCTTAAATTGTTCTATTTTATGGGTGGATTTTGTATACCTACCTGGTTTAATACATAGTAGTGGCTTTTAAATTTGTTTCAGAAAAATATTTACCATAGATATTGTTCACTATTTCCATATAGCCAAAATATACACTTTAAGACTTACTTTAGACTTTTTCCTGATAAAATTAATAGGCATTTTTTTTGTAGAAATTTTGGGAACTTTTCTATACAGAAAAAAATGAAAATCATGTGTATTTTTACCACTCAGAGATAATTACTTTGGCATTTTCTTCCGGAATTTTTTTCTATTCATTTGATTTCAAGTAACAGAAAATCCAATCAAACTTGTTTAAACAGTAAAGAAAATTGATTGGCTCACACGAATGAGAAGTCCACAGGCTGAAGCTTGATTCTACAACTCAATATGTCATCAAGGACCATTTATTTCCTTCTCTCTGCTGTGCCTTCCTTGGTGTCTGCATCATTCTAAGACTGGCTGCCACTATCTTCCTCTTGTCCAGCTGGAAAGAAAAGATCAGCATTCTCAGCAAAAGTCCTAAGAGTCATTCTATCAAACTACCTTAGAGCCAATGCCCATCTTGACTCAATCATTGAGTCCAAAGGGATGGAATATACTGATTGGAAAACCTAGGTTAGTTACATTACCTTTGAGGGTGGAGTGAAGTCAACCTCTCTGGAAGCACATGGATTCCTAAAAAGAAACTGGTGCTATTGGGAAAGGGATGGGGAGTTTTAAAATAGCTAAATATTTTTAAATAAATTTGAAATCATATTAGATATATTCAAACAACACATTTTAGGTCGCTCTAAACACTTCTACTATTTTATCTCCCTCTTCTTTACTCTTAGAGTTCTCATTTTTTCAAGACAGATCATCTTCAAAATTTCAATAGGGAATAGTTAATAGGTACTAAAAATTATGATATAGATCTATATTTATGGATAAAAATGTTAATTATATATTTTTAAATGAAAAAGTTTATAAAAATCAGGTGTATAAAAATCACATGTATTGTATAATCCTATTTCTTAAACAATCTATAAATGAATAGAAAAAATGATACACATATAGTAAAATGTTAACAGAAGTCATCTGTAGATGTTGTGATATTCACTTCCTCCCTTTCTATATTATCTGAATATTTTATAATTATTATTTTCATAATCAGAAAAAAAAACATTAGAACTACTTCATTTTGGAAAAAAGTAGAGTTCACCAGGAATCTACATTATATCAGACTGCCTCAACATATACCCTACATGACCCTTGTCATTGTACAAACCACTTGGTTTATTCCTTCTGTCAATCTTGATCAGCCGGAGTTGAGGAATATGGAGTATCAGTGTGAATGAAGGAATAGGTTCTATTTATTTGTAAGTGGAGGTTAAGATTAATTTACAGCTTTCCTCCATTAGTTTCAATAAGTTTTAGCTTTTCTTCTTTTTTTTCAGTTAATAGTATATATAGGTCAGCATCTCACAGAATAATTAGCAGATATGATAGTGGAATTAAATGATTTCTTATGGTATTCATTGGTAATTGCTTATCTGAGGATGACTTTTTAATGGAGTCTTTCACTCTGTATACACTTTGTTCCTAGAGGTCCCCCCAACAAGCTGCTCTTCTCAGAAAACCCATCCACTCCATACACTTATCTCCAAACCACATCTTTAGCTCTGTTCTTTCTCTCTCTTGAGCTTCTGTTTTCTCTCTAGGTGTCTACCAGAAATCTCTCCCTACATGTGCTGATACCTTCATGAGCAGTTAGTTCACAGAACAGTGAGCACTTATATTCCCATTCTCTTGTACCAACTAGCTGGGTGCTCTGAGACCAATCGCTTAATCTCCAGGACCTCAGATAGAGAAGATGATGATAACTTCTTCAAGAGAGGAATATGAACTAGATAATTTCTCAAGGTTTTCGATTTTAGGCCTAAAACAAAACTCATTACCTTCTTCTTGTAACTGCTTCCCTCATTTGAAATACTTTCTCTTTTCATCTTCAGATAATAGAATGATAGAAAATAATGGAGCTTTAAAACTAGGAAGGATGTTAGAGGTTCCCTAATTCAATTCTTTTTCTTCACAGTAATGGATGAGCAAAGAACACACGTTCATTTCCTCCTTCCCCTTCTGTAGCCCTATCAGTAATGAGTCCCATCAGTTCTCCTCTTGTAATGTCTCTCAGGCCTTTCCCATTCTCTGAAATTCTCAGGATATTTCCATTCAATGTCTCCATTTTTTTCATATCATCACCCCAGAGTATGTCTTCCTTTCCTGATGTCTTGGTTCTTCCCAAAGTCATCTGTTTTTCTTGCCTTCAGTCTCTCTTTCAACTAATCCTGGGAAAGCTTCCAGATTACATATCCAGAAATAGTGTACTCATTATGACATGTTCCTGTGAAAAGATATCTAATGGTTTTACTGTGGTCAAACGATGAGGTCCAAACTCTGACTAATCTAAGGAACCTCCTAGCAGTTGACCCTAACTTACTTTTCCAGGCCTATCTTCCAGAATTCCCCTAAAAGTCAAAGTTCAATAAGAATTCATTTAATTGAATTAACCTTCACACTTTCTAAATAGAAATCCTTTTAGCCCTGAGATAATATATTCAGAAGACAAGAAAAAGTAGCCAGGTTCAAGGGTAACAAGGAAGACAGTTAAAAGTGAAGAAGATAAGAACAAAGGTGAAGTGAGAACAGGAGCAGAACACATGACTTTTCTAGTTTCAGTTTCTGCTTATTTTTCTCCTGTTTACAGATCCTTCAACCAACCCTTTAGCTTACTGTGATTTTTCAGTTAAGCCATATATTTTTATATCTTTGCACTAAAACTACCAAGATGATAGGAAGACACTGAAGTTGCCGGACAAAAAGTTATAGATGCAAAGTAAAATAGAGGCTTTACAAAGAATACATGCTTGTGGAGATCTTAAGTGGGATCAGGTTATAAACATTTTTAAATTTGAAATAATTTTGATTCCAAAACACTAATTCAAATACAGGGTTTTTTCGGGCTTCAAAGCGCAGCCCTATATTTGGGACCCCTTCATTTCAAGAAGCTCTGGAAGTTTTCCACCAATACAACCAGTTTCTTCTCAGTACAGAGATGATATGCAAGTAGTTTCCCCCACCATAGAAACACAAGCAGTCTGGCACTGGGAGCTTATTCTAAATCAAGCACAGTGCTAAAGCTTTACAGACCTTTTAATATCTGATTTAGGAAGGTCAAGGTCACACTGCCTTGGCAAAGGTGCAAGGTTGGACTCTGACCCAGGTCTAAGTCCTTGCTTTTACACTCGGCTATAAACACGACTAAACTAAGAGAGGAACTGGAAGATCACGCGAAGCTGGGGCTAGGCGGAAAGACGAAACGGCCTCTGCATCTGAGTTTAGGGACAGGAAAACGAGACTAGCAATCCCCCACGACAGCCGCCATTTTGCGAGCGCCAGACGGCCGGAAGTCCCGCCGCCGGAGTCTAGCGGGGGGCTGCTTGCCGCTGCCAGGGCGGAGCCGGGCACCGAGTGCCTGGGCGTCCCGGCAGTCGGGGGCGGAGCCTGAGGGCGGAGTCGGGGGCCGTGCGGCGTGGAGGCCCGCGGCGGGGGGCGGGGCCTGAAGGCGGAGCCAGGTCCGTGAGGCCCGGAGGTTCCGGGTCCGGGAGGTGCCGGGCGCCCTGCAGCTGGGAGGTTCCCGGCCGGGGGCGGGGCCTGGAGGCGGGGCGGGGCGGGGCTGCGGGTGCGGGGTGGAGCTGACCTGGCGGCGGCTTCGCTCTTCACTTGCGCGGAGCGTGATTGAGCTGCTGCAGCTGGCAGCTGGCAGCTCCCGGCTAGGAGGGCTGCGGGTGGGACATGACGTTGATTTCCTCCCTGCTTGGCCCACCGCGAGCACCGACTCCCGTCTCCTTGCGGCCGTGGGGCTGCAGACGTAGCAGGTGAGATGGGCCCCCGGGGCGCGGACCTGCCCGTTCCTGGCTCGGCTAGGTGGGTCCCGGTGCCCCCGCTCCCACCCCTCGGGTCTGGGCAGGTGGGCAGCGCTCCGCCCTTGGCGCCCAGGCCCGCAGCCCGCGCCTGGCCACCTCTGCCCTGCAGCGCCCGCCTTAGGACGTGCGGGGCCATCCGGGAGGGCTTACGTAGGCTGAGGGGCTGCTTGTCCCCTCCGGTGACAGAGCTGCCATCCCTCAGTTTGATGAGCGCCTCATTGCTCGTGCGTCCATCCTGTCATTCTTGGACTCTTCCCTTTATCCCGAAGGGTGGCTTCAGTATCTCTCCTCCTGGGAGCTTCTGCCCAGGTACCCGAAGCGTTGCACCAAATTTTCTCCTTTACCCCTTTTTGGAGCATGTCAGTTACCATGGCGTTGTGATTCCCATGCCTTGGGGAACCTGAGCGACCAACTTTTTATCCCTGGCACAGACCCCAGGCTGCCTTTCCATTTCCTCTGCTGCCCGCCCAGGCATTGGGTGGCAGCTGCTCTCTGGGCGGCCTATTTGGTTAGCGACTCTCTGCACTCTTATCTTGGAGGGCCATAGGCTGTCCCTATCTACAAGGGAAGGGGCAGTGCTCAGCACTCCCCACCCTGGATCTCTAGGGAGGACATTTGGTCCCCTGCAAGTAGGTGGGAGTCGGTGGATGGTCTCACTGTTGATGTTGAAGAGTGCTTTAATAGTACCACACTGTATTATGCTTTTCCTACAGGGTAAAGGATATTGGGTGTTTGAGAAATAGCCTACGAGTTGAAAGCTTTCTCTTTGAAGTCAATCAGAACCCTCCTCCCTATTTTCACTTACTAATAGCAGTTGTTTACAATTTCAGTGGTTCCTTGGTGTTATCTAAGCCAACTATGAAGTGGCCCAAAGTGGTCCAAAGTGATTTGTATATAGCATTTCTCTACTTTTCATCCCATGAGTGATCAGTAAGCGGTCAGGGAGTGGTCTTTTACTGTGACAGATGAACTTGTTTGTTCTGTAACAAGCTTTGTTTCTAATGAGATGAAAAGACTGGATGTAATTTTTTGAAAGCTTCTGTTGCTGTGTTTCCTGTTCATTTTAAAAGAAAGCTTTAGATAGCATATTTTCCTCCTATTGGGAAAAAAAAGATTAAGATGAGATAAAACTTTATAAGTCCTTTTTGGTTATTTTGACTTTCCTTCAGTTAGCAGGCATTGCCTTTATAATGTCGAAGAACATTAAAGAAACTTCATAGGAAGGGGCAGATTAATTTTCAAAGTTTTTCTCTTAATTTTTGACTAACTGAAAGTTAAACCTGGGCATTGCTACAACTATTTGACCGTCACCTTGAGAAAAATGAAGAGCTCTCCCTTCCCTGCTAATAACTATTTAAGATCAAACTAAATTAAATTGAACTGTTAATTGTTTGGTAAAGAACAAAAACTGATAACCTCACGACCCATTCCTTCCTTCTACTTTAGTTGGAGGATCTTTAATACTAAGTATGTTTGAAGAACTGGCATAGTGACATTTATATTTAATTTGTTACCATTCTTATTATTATTAGGACTACAACTCCTAAGAGCAATTGCTACCAATTCTTGAAAGCATACTTTGTGATAAGCTACTGTGATGAGCTGTGTATAAAATCTCCAGTCCTCACAATATCCCTCTAAGGAGATTTTTACTCTCATTTTATAGTTGAGGAAGCTAAGGTTCTGAGAGGCTAGATCACTTGCCGGAAGAGTTGATAAGCGATAAGACTGGGTTCAGGTCTGTTTGACTCTTTTCACTGAACAACTGCTAGTTTACTTAAAACTGTTGGTTAAAAATTATTAGAATACATTGATATGTGATTGTGGTACAAATAAGAGGTAGTGAGCAGTAGAAGTTATGAATACTCTAGGCAAAGAAATATAGGGAACTTTGTAAAAATAACAGAAGACTGGGTAATTTATCACCTGATTCTTTAGCACCGCCTTTTTTAAGTCCATCTCTTAGGGGCTCCAAATGTTTAACTCCTTTGTTTAATTGTTTACCAGCCCCTACTTCAACTATGGGTACCTGTACCAACCAGTAGCTTTCCCAGGATATAATTTGACGCTTATTTGGTAAACTTCAACTATGTGAGTAATTGTAGGTTTTGTATATATTGACCACTCCCATCTAATCCTAGTAGAAAAATACTTGTCCTGATCCAGATTAAATGTAAGGTTTTTAAATGGTTCAGTTTATACCAGGGTAGCACAGAGAAAACTATCTTGTCCACACCCCTGCGTATCAGTTGTTGCTGGTCTCTGGGCTGCCAGATATCTGAGTCTTTTTAATATGATGTGGGTGTTTGAGAACTTAACCTGGGGCATTGTAAATTTCAGGAAGCATGAGCTTTTTTATTTTCTTTCATATATAAGTTCACTTTAGATGGTTAACCCAGAATAATTACTTAGAAATTGGCAATTGTCACCATGTTAATTTCAAGTTACTAATAAAAGCTGATTCATTGCAGAGTGGTCCAAACCTCATGTTCACTGTGCCCTTGGCAGCCAGAGGGGGGTCTGATAAGTATTGTAATGTTAGCTAGCGTAAAGAATTTTTCCTTGCTTTAGTGTTTTCTGAACATCTTTAGAACATTTTACAACACATGTTGTGTTCCTTAACATTTTATGAACAGCTTTTTAGAACATTTTAGAACCACATTTTGTGGTTTGGGGCCTGTTGCTATAGTGAAAAACTTAGAATACTTTATCATTTAGAAAAAAAAGATTTCTGTCCATGTAATAGATCCTAAAAGAGAACACTGATCCACTAGAGGGAGAAAGGTTTATTTAAGAGCAGGTTAGGGCCGGCCCCGTGGCTTAGCGGTTAAGTGCGTGCGCTCTGCTGCTGGCGGCCCGGGTTCGGATCCCAGGCACTCACCACTTCTCCAGCCATGCTAAGGCCGCGTCCCACATACAGCGACTAGAGGGATGTGCACCTATGACATACAACTATCTACCGGGGCTTTGGGGAAGAAAAAAAAAGGAGGAGGATTGGCAATAGATGTTAGCTCAGAGCTGGTCTTCCTCAGCAAAAAGAGGAAGATTAGCATGGATGTTAGCTCAGGGCTGATCTTCCTCGCAAAATAAAAAGAAGAAGAAGAAGAAAAAAAAAGAGCAGGTTATTATTTTAGAGAGAGAGAGAGATAGCATTTCCTGTGTGCCAGGCACTGTGCTAGGCATTAGGGACAGAACAGTGAGCAAAAACATGCACAGTTCCTGCATCTGAGGCACATAAAGTCTAGTGAAGGAGACAGACATAAATCAAATGCTCACTCTAATGTGTAGTATAACTATAAACTGAGAAAAGTGGCCTAAAAGTAAGGAACATGATTCTATATGAGAAAGACTCCTGGCCTGGCTATGGGTTTAGAGAAGTCTTACCTGATAAAGCGACTCTTGAACTATATGATTTGGAGGATGAGTAGGTGTTATTATGTAGAGAGTGGTGGGTGGGTAGACAAGAGTACATTTTAAGGTGAACTGCGTGTGCGAAGTCCCTGTGGCACAAAGGGACTATGGATCATTCAAGAAGGCCAATATGTGTGGCTGGTGTAAAAGGAACTAAGGGTAGGTTGGTGGGATGCCATCGTTTTTTTCTTTCATTCTGTCTCTCATAATGCTACCAAAAGTTATATTCAACTTTTGTTAAGTCGTTACTTTGTGCCAGACGTGATTATAAGGACTTGACTTGAATAATCTGAAGTTCCTATGAGGTAGGTACTACTATTGCCATTACACAGATGAGGAAAGTGAGGCACAGAAAAGTTAAGTTACTGGTTCAAAGTTGATCAGTGAATACTCTACTCTACTCTTCTTCCTATTCTATACTCAAGTATGACCACAGGCTGGAAAGGACCCTCCTGTCCAGTGTGAATCCTTGATGCAGCCCTGAGAACTTCTGAAATTTCCAGAGAATTTGGATGCAAGTGGACATTCACCAGAGACTCTGTGGGCCCTATGCTCTTATCCACTGGGCGGAGCTCGAGTGTGGATCACTGGAGAGGACCACTGGGCATCACTGCAGCTGCAATGTTTGTGGGTCTTATTTACTCGTGTCTGATACTGAATCTAGGACAGCAGCATAAGTGTTTTGAGCTGGCTCACCTTTGAGAGTAAACAGGTTATTGTTAGCAAACATTCTGCCCTTTTCTTTTTACTTGTATTTTTCTCTGATGATAGTCGAAGAAAGTATGTACATTTATTTGGCTATTTAATAAGTCTAGGTTTGCTAGTATACCCTTTCAACTAGAATTCTTGTTATTGATTGTCACACTGAATCTTTCTTGCTTTATTTACAGAGATCTGATTGGAGTTGGAGGGTGAAAGAAAATGAATTCTTTTTCTGATTTACCTGCAGAGAACTTAACCATTGCAGGCAATAGGACCGAGACTTTGTCCTCAACAGTAACACATGGATTTAATTCCACTAATGACTCACCTTCAATGTCAATAACAAGGCTTTTTCCAGCCTTACTAGAATGCTTTGGCATAGTCCTTTGTGGCTACATAGCAGGAAGGGCCAATGTCATAACATCAACGCAGGCCAAAGGACTGGGAAATTTTGTCTCCAGATTTGCACTTCCAGCTTTATTATTCAAAAACATGGTTATACTTAATTTTTCCAATGTGGATTGGGCTTTCCTATATAGTATCTTAATTGCCAAAGGTGCTGTATTTTTAATTGTATGTGTATTAACCTTATTGGTTGCCAGTCCTGACAGTCGATTTAGCAAAGCTGGATTATTCCCTATTTTTGCTACACAAAGTAATGACTTTGCATTGGGATATCCTATTGGTAAGTTATTTTTTATTCTTCATGTTTTTTAAAAGTTCAAGTGTTTTAGGAGGCAACAAAACTTAAGCCTTTAATTTATCTAAGCGTTTGTTAGTGATAAATACTTATTAATATATCTAAGAAATTTTTCATTTTTTTTTCTTAAATATATCTTAAATTAGGAAGATTTATATTTTTTCCTCAACTTCAGAGTTTGAGGCTCCTTCAAACATCTACCTAAAATAAATGGTCATATCCAAATAAACTTTGTGAATCATCTAATAGTATTCTTTCTCTTCTCAATAATCACATATGAAAGAAGTTTAATTTCTAGAAGGGATCAGATTCTGATGAAATTATGTAAAAAAGATAGGCATATGTCTGTATAAAAACAATTATTAAATGTTAGCAGTGGAAATTTATGAGTGACTTTTTCTCTCCCTTATCCTTCTTACCATCCAGAATATATAGTATGTTACATTAAAACTTGTTTTTGAGGGGCCAGCCCTGTAGCCTAGTGGTTAAAGTCCAGTGCACTCTGCTTCGGTGGCTGGGGTTCGTGAGTTTGGATCCCTGGTGCAGACCTACACCACTTGTCAGCCATGCTGTGGTGGCGACCCACATACAAAATGGAGGAAGATTGGCACAGACGTTAGCTCTGGGCTAATCTTCCTCAAGCAAAAAAAGCAGGAAGATTGGCAACAGATGTTAGCTCAGGGCTAATCTTCCCAAAGCCAAAAAAAAACCTTGTTTTTGAGCTTGTTATTCAAAATGTCCATGTACTTTAGTTGAAGTTAATTTCTTATTTAAGAACAAAAATGGTGAGGGCTTTTTTACCTTTCCATCTTTTCCTTCTTTAGCTTTCTAACTCTTTAAGCAGCCTAATGTTATGTTTCTATGCATGTGTATTTTGCTAATAAAATAGTAAACATACCAGTTTGGGATGTTGAGATATCTTGAAAGGAAAGGTTTTTTGTTTTCAGAACACTCTACTGCTAAGAAAATATATACTTAGTAAACTACTTTTTTATATTTTTATTTTTAAATTAAAGTGTATGTTGTGCTTTGATCAGATATCATAATTTGAAGACCTGAATATTATGGATCTAGTCGTTCATTGATTCACGCATTCATAGGGACCTCTTACGTACCAGTGACTGTGCTAGCTGCTGGGAATCCACCTGTGAACAAAGTTCTTATATATTGAATTTACGTTTTAATGGGAAAATAAAATTAAAATTAAAATAATATCAGGTAATGACCAGGGCCATAAAAATAAATAAAGTAGTGCAGAGGGGTAGGAATGAGGAGGTGCTATTAGAGGTAGGGGGTCAGTAAAGTCCTCTCTGATGATATATCTTCTGAGCAGAGACTGAAAAAAACTTATTGAAATGGACAATTGAAATCTACCATTGACTTTCAGATTTCCCTCCCCAGCCCCACCCACCCCCAAGTTATTTCACCACTGGCACCAAAAGGATTCCAGTGTACTATACTTTTCATCTTTCTCCAATTTTGACCCTCCTCCATCTCGCTTACCAGAAACGGAGGTATACCTTAGAAATTAGATAACTATGAGTAAAGCAGGTTTATGAGAGGGGAAAAACTAGGCTCTTAGATAACTGAGCTGTAAATAGTCAGAAACTACACAGGTGTTCCTTTAAGGTTGTTGAATTTTAAAATTAAGGATGAACCAAGCATTTAAATAAAGACTTCAGAAATAAAAGAACAAGGAGTTAATGTGTTTGTCCTCTTCAGGAGCATTAATAATGTAAATTTATCAAGGTATTTATGGAATAAAGACCTTAGAAGTGGCTCAGTATCATAGTGTTAAATATTCAATAAATATTGCTATATCTTAATTTAGACATAAACTGTAAATATATAGTTTCATGCTCCCATAGATTAGTAAGCCCATAAATAAGTAGAACTAACATTTGTAATGTTATAGAGTACTTTCTTATATATCTTATCTCATATGAAGTAGGGCAGATATTATTATCCTCATTTTCAAATAAGGAGACAGGCTTATAGAGATTTAATTGTCTTATCCCAGGTCACACAGCTCACAGGTGACTGAGACCCAAACCTAGGTCTTCTGGTTCTAAATCCTGGGCATTCTCTTATGCCACACAGTTATATAACATGCCCATTTAATCTTCAGAAGACGCAGCTAGCCCATGTAATACATTAGTTTCAGAGAGAATCAAAGTTTTTTTTATCTTTACATTATTCTAAAAATATTCCATAAAATGAGTAGCAGTGGAAAAAGACCTATTAGATGAGTTTATCCATTTTCATATCAAGGCAGACTCTCCAAATAAAAAATATAGTCGGCCATTTTCATCACTGCTTTTCTTATGTCCCACATTAAATCAGTGAATCTCGTAATAATCTTGTTCCCAGCAGTATGCTAGCCCATTTCCATGATGATTATGCTTATCGATTTTGAGTTGTCATTTTGTTTTTAAACCACAAATAAGAGCTCTTGTAGCATTAGGTTGTAGACAATAGCCTTACCAGAAGCCAATAGTATAGACAGAAATGCTGTCTCATCTATCTGCAGATTGGAAGGTGTGGTACAGAACTGCAGGGCTGTGTGTCTGCTCCGATGAGGTATTCATTATTACTGTCCATGCCCTTCTGCTTTCTGGCCTTGTTTGGAGAGAGACCCCTTCTTTCTGTTTGTTATGTGGCCTCTCCCAGGAATTCCCACTCTCTCATTAGCAGATAAGCATCATAGCTGCTAGGAAATGTCCTTTTTAAGACTGCGCGTGTTCCACAACATCAGTCCAATTGACAGGTGACTTAGGAGAAGGCAGATAAGTTAATGAATAAAAAAAGAACAGTTGAATTTCCTTTTTCTCTGTATGATGATAATTTTGACAGTCTATGAAATTCTACTAAAATGATGTATCTATACTCAAGTGATGGAACACTACAGTGCATTATTATAGACTAAAAAAGAAGCTCACTGTTTTTTTAGCAACAATTTTTTTCAAAATTACTTTACGAAATCCAAGTATGAGAAGAAACCAAGAATCGACCAAGGTGAAATGTTGATTTCAGCAAATCAGAATGGTTCCCTGCCTCTGTCATTAAAAGATACTAATAAGGCATAGTTAAGTCCTATAATTTATTCTTCAAACAATGCTGATAGCATAAGTACCCTGACTAATCATGATTATGCTCTAGTGCTTGAGCTGTAAACAGAAAGGAAATGAAGCATTTAACTATATGCCATTAAATAATAGAATGATCCTGTCTGGGTCTTTGTGTTATTTTCTAGGATTGAAACCCTGCAGGACTCAAAATAGGAGCCACCGTGGGTGGCTAATTTTGTCTTAGTTCTGCAAAGTTATATAATAATTCCTCATAGTGGGATTCTCCTCTCCCCCCAAGAGCCTTATTTATAAGAATTAATTAGAACTTAATAGTTGATATAATGATTATAAATCTAATTTGTTAGTATAGGTCACTGCTTTCATATATATGTTGTTATATGTTTTTCAGATTTGAAAACCATCTTTAGATTGGTAACAAAAGAAAAGCACTGCCAATTTATAGATAAATACATGATGTTAAATAACTATGCAATGAATGGCAGAAATGGACTGAAATTTCCATGTTGAACCCTATTCTAGTAATTGAACAAGTATTTATTCCCAATTTTTTGCTCTCCCACTAGATTATACTTCTTTTGCCTTCGTGTACGTGTTCAACTGACTTAAAATACTCCAATAGTAACCTGCTTTATAAATATTCAGAATATGAAAAAAACATTGGATATAAAAAGAAATGGGTTAACAGATAACAATTAGATATAATTGCTGTGTGTTAACAAAATACATTTTTACTCTGTCTGAAACCTTTGACATTCATTGATATGTTAATTCCATTCAGCAAGTATTTTTCAGATTTGCTCAGTGCTGGGCTGGGATTGGAGGTTATAAAATGATGCCTTCAAGGAACTTAGAATTGGTTGAGGTGGCAGTAATATGAACAAGGTACCAGAGCCATCCAGAGAAGGGGAGATCCAGGATGTCAATTGAAGACTTGGTGGAAGAAGTGGTACCTGAGGCAGGGCTTAAACAGTAAGCAAGATTTAGATAAGAAAGGAGAGACTTCAAGAAGTTGGGGAATGATGATCAGCACGTAGAACTACTAATGATGAACCTGGTGTTTGTCTACTGTGATGATAATATTAAACTGGTTGATAGTTAAACTGGCTATTCCTTTGCACTAAGGAATAGTGAGAGATAAGCTGGATAAATAAGGGACCGCTTGTGGAGAGTGGACTATGAATGTCGAAAAGAACGGTTTTATAACCATTCTTATGGGTGGTGAGAGCTGTGGAAAATCTTAATTTTTGAAAGTTAAGATTTAGATGATATTGTCAGCAGTGAATAAAATGGATGCAGGAGGTGGTCAAGAAAAACCAAAAGAATATAGGTTGGTAAACACATTAAGTCACCCAGTTTTGAGATTTTTGACTAGTGGTATTAGTAGGAATCAAGAAGAGAAAATACAGGGGCCGGCCCCGTGGCCTAGTGGTTAAGTTCGGCACGCTCCGCTTCGGCTGCCTGGGTTCAGTTCCTGGGCGCGGACCTATACTACTTGTCAGCGGCCATGCTGTGGCGGCAACTCACATGCAAAATAGAGGAAGATTCGCACAGATGTTAGCTCAGGGTGAATCTTCCTCAGCCAAAAAAAAAAAAAGAGAGAGAGAGAAAATATAAAAGATCCTGCAAAAGAAGAAAGTACTTAGTGATTGGCTAGCTGTAGATAATAAAAGCTGTTGCTCAAATTTGCAGTGAGCTTTTAAAACAATCTAGAGTCCATTATGTGATGGTGATTAAGTGCTAGTGTGCCAGGAAAGTAAATGGAAAATGGCATTAACTTAAGGGACTTTGTGTACTGTAAGTCATCAAAGATACCTTATGCATTTTATTTTGACCACTTGGGAAAATTCTTGTGCTCGGATTGAAAACACAAGGCTTTTCCAAAATATGCTCTTTCTTTTAAAAATTGAGTGGTGGGCGGGTATGGACACAATTCTTTTAGAGATAGAATATCTATTCAGAAGAAGTGTAGCTATCTAGAAATAGTTATCAAAAGTGCTGCTTTTTTTACTTAAAAGATGAAACCTTATGAAATATGAAAGAAAACCACTAAGAGTTGTAGAGCTAGGATATCTAACTTGGAGGTCAGTGGAAAGAATTTGTGAAATTTTATGTAATTAAGTATGTTTGGTTTAACCACTGCTTCCTTTTAGAGATATTATAGACCTCTGTAGGTGCTTAGCTGAAAAAAAGGGAATTGAATCTTATGAAAAGTAGGTTTTAGCTAATGAGAAGAAAGTGAACTTCAAAGGTTATATAATCTAGTTACATAACTTTAATGGGACATGTGCATGACATTAACTGAACTTATGTATCCTGAGTAAGAAAACAAGTATATTTTCCTACCTGTGTCACTTTATCTTGATGTAAATTGAGAAACCTAATCTTTAAAGTTTTTCACGTGTTTGCCTCTCTCCTTGTGAGTGATTGTGGCTGTTGTTTTTTATCTTTCATTCTCAACTTGAAATCACTTATGAATCAGCCTTTGTATGTATGAGGTTGAATAATTTCAGAACACATTGCCAAACATGTGCCTAGAGACCAGGTTGCTTACTCCAAGGCTCTAAGTTGCCCTGATCAACCCGAGACCAGGCCACCAACCCTCACATCCACCAAGCAACTGCAAAAGTCTGATCCACCCACAGTCTCCCAAGGAGTCTCATCTTATGCAGTGGTTAGGTTAGGTTCTAAAGTCATCATATACAGTCAAACCTTTGAAAAATCCTTTAAATCACCCACAAAATACAGCACACGTACTTTGTGTATATTGTACCATTTCTCATAAGTCTAACAGCCATATTTTTTTCTCTACCATTATTGTTCTTCAATAAACAAGTGAAGTAATTAGTTTGCATTTGGGAACATGCTTTATGAAAAAAAAACGATGAAACTTTTGTTTTCCTAAGAGAGTGTAGGTGAATTTCCCTTAGTTTAATGTGCATTGATCTGACTCCACTGTATTCCCCTCCCAAACATTTCTTAGATCCACCTTTCCATCCCTAATTCTTCAGCATCTTCACTGGTCTTCCCTGGAGGCATTCATTCTCTTTCATTCCTCTCAAATGGAGGCTGCTCATTTTCTCATCGCCTGCATACCACATGAGCAATGGTAGGACTGGCATCCTCATAGCCACCTTGTACCACTGCTAGGCCATTATTCTCTGCTCTTTTGTAAAAACTGCTTCTTTGAGGTTCATGCTGCCTGGCTCGACCCCTCATCCTCGTTGCTGTCATCTGCTGACCTCATTCTAACCATTCCTCCTCATTCATTGAAGACTTTAATTAATCTGTCTCATTGTCGTCTTCTCTACTCCCAAGTTTTGCCATTATCTTGTTTGACTTGAGCATCCATGTGAACTACCCATCAAATTCTCTGCCCTCTCAGTTCCTGAGCCTCCTTACCTCCAATGATGTCTTCCTTTACTCCATTTCAGCTACCCGCGAACATGGCCTCATCCTACCTGGTCATATGGAAAATATTAAATTCAATAGCTCACTGTCTGACTTATCCAAACTCCTCAACTTCCAACTGCACGTAATTCTTGGACTTCATAGGGGCCTCCAGTCTCTGACCCCTCTACTTTCTGTTTGTCAGCCGTCTCCCATCTTCACTTCTTTTCCTGTACAGCTTGGACTCCATCACTTTGGTGCTCATTTTTTAGTTCGTTGTCTCCTACTTGCTCTTCAGTCCTCTGTACTCTGACTCCTGCCTCACCACTCCAGTGAAACTTCCCCTCAAGGGAACCAACAACCACCTTGTTGCTATTACTACTTAAACATTTAATTTGTTACTAGATTTTTACTTTGAATTGTTTCTTTTAAGAATTCTACAATTATGCTGGTTTTTTTTTGAGACTGGTCTTAGCCTCTACGTAGTAAAAATTAGTGAGTTTTACTAAAAATAATTTGTGCAAGTTGATTATCATTTTATAAGCTAAATGTTATTTAATATAGTGTGTTTTTCTTCCTTTTCAGCTTTCTTACTAAAATGTACTTTTCCAAAACTAGGGTAAGGAGGTCATTCTGCACTATTTAGATTACAGTATGCTATAATTAAGCACAGAAAACATAATATACATAATGTATTAATATATTTCTGTGGTGATCATTTTAAAATCAATTTTAATTCTTGTTTTTCAGTTGAAGCTTTATATCAAACTACATACCCAGAATATCTCCAGTACATTTATTTGGTGGCACCAATATCTCTTATGATGTTAAACCCTATAGGGTTTATCTTCTGTGAAATCCAGAAGTCGAAAGATGCTCAAAATGTTTCTCAAAACAAAATAAAAATCATGGGACTCGGATTTCTACGGGTATTACAGAACCCAATAGTATTTATGGTCTTCATTGGCATTGCCTTCAATTTTATTCTGGATCAAAAGGTGCCTGTATATATGGAAAATTTTCTTGATGGACTTGGAAATTCTTTTTCTGGATCAGCTCTATTTTATCTTGGTCTTACAATGGTAGGAAAAATAAAGAAACTGAAGAAGTCAGCATTTGTTGTACTAATTCTTCTCATCACAGCTAAACTGTAAGTTTCACTCATTTAACTTGGGAGCTGTCCTTTGTGAAAGCTTTATTTTCTCCTTTAAGAAGAGTGATAGTAGTAATTCCTCCCAATTGAATAGTTGTGATTTAAAGGAAAATGTGATGTTGGTATATTGTGGAAAGTCATTTCCTTCTTCCGTGTAGGTTATTCTTCCCATTTTTACTGTCAGAGGATAAAGATTATTGGTTTCCCTTCAGCTTTTATATAATTTTACTTAATATCTCCTAATGTCCAAGTTTGATCATACTTTTTAAGGAATTTTTCAGGATTTCTGAGTTTTCTAAATCTATTAAAATCCTAAAGTCAAAAGCATCTTAGTCATGATGATGAGAACAATAATTTTGAATATAAACTATTTTTATCATGAATTTTGGGGGAAATATTCTGTAATTCTGAGGGTGGTTGAAATTTCTAAATATAAATAAGTCAACATGAATGATTATCAACCATCTATTCCTAGTCCATCAAATAAAAAGTTCTTATCAGCTCCTTAGTTAATAGTTATTCAGCTTACTTAGCTCATGAGCCATGGCGTTAAATTTCATGGTGCAAGTGACATAATTTTACTGCAAGATTATCCCAAGGCACTTGGGACATACTTAACTATTGAATTCAGCTCTTGTATAGACAGTTAAATTCATGAGACCAGTGCAATATGAAATAGTATCTCGTTTTCAAAATAATAAAAATGAATATAAGTTCTGAAAATTATTTATGGTGGTATTATGCTCCTTGGAAATAAAGTATTAGTTGCCACAGTAATAGATATGGTTCTAACAATAATAGTATTATCAACTTAAACTTATAAGTAGAATTTCAATATTCTCATTTTTTAAATCTTTTTTTCTGGTCGTTGATCCCTGTTAGATATGTTCTTTGTCTATTTTTCAAATTAAAAAAATATTAAATTAAATATTAAAAAGTAGTTCTTTACTCCATCCTAGAGCATCTCTCTAGTTGCTGCTGTGACAGTGTTATCAACGTTGGTCTTGTTGTTTTTAAAGGAAAGCCCCATTAGCCTAGCTACTGTTGATAGGCTCTTTCTGTGGAATCCTATAGGATTTGTTTAATAATTTACTCTTCACCAGGTCTGGATTTCACTAATTTTCTGCTCTACCTCAGTTGTTTCAATTCCCTTTGCTAAACTTTTTTGTCTTTACAAAGGTGAAGAGCTAATTGTAAGATACCTATTTTTCTACTGTTTTTAGAATCTAATTGAGCAGCATTGTTATTACCCAAACCATTTAAACCCCTAATCATAATAAAGATCAACTTTTTTTTTCAAAAAAGAGTTTAGTAATTTTCAAGAAAAAAATTTACTCAGATTGTCAATCTTTTTTTTCTTTTAACATTTCAATGAGCTAATAGAGGAAGCAGGAAACAGCAGCTATAATTGCAACTTTTATAAATTTTTTGCGAGAAAATTATTCGTAGAACAAAAAATCTGAGTTTTTTCCTCCTAATCCCTGATATTTGAAGTATTTCTAGAATATTGTTACACTTTAAAGGGCTCCAAGTTGAATTCTTGATTCTTTTAACAAAATGTCCACAAGTAGGCATACGGAGAATTGTGCATACAAATCACCTTCTGGGCAGGAGAAGAATAACCTAATGCCAAGTTCCCTAGAGTGATCTAACGCTTGGGGACCAACATGCTTTGATATCAAGTAATGATGCATTTCTTGTTTCTTCAGCCTGGTGGTACCACTTGTGGGCAGAGAAATGGTGGAACTCTTGGACAAGGGCGACAGTGTAGTGAACCACACAAGTTTATCAAATTATGCATTTTTGTATGGTGTCTTTCCTGTAGCACCAGGAGTGGCTATCTTTGCAACACAGTTCAACATGGAAGTAGAGATTGTATGTATATACTACTTTCTAAGTTTGATTGTTTGTGTGGTTAGTAGAAAAATGAATTTTTAAAATGGAGAAATCAGCATTCTCTTATGAGAATTTGATAACTATAAACTACCTCATTGTAAATAAAGAGGCATCATGTAACATCATGTAACAATAGAGTTATTTAATCTGGGGTCTTTATTCAGCCATGACTTATTTCATTAGTTTTTTTAGTTTCAAGTATTTTATTGCCAAACTTTTACTTAAGCCTAAAAGTTATTACAGAAACGTAACTTTTGAAATTTTGAGGGGAAAAAAAACTGTTTCATTCTTTGATAATTCAACCATCAGATGCAAAACACCACATAATCAACTGCAGTAAATAGCTAAAATCGGTTAACATGAAATTGTTAACAGTGTCTAAGTGTATTGTACATGTTATCTACAGCATTAGAGTAAATGCTTTTGAAATATAACAGGAAGGAACTAAATTGTTTAATGCAAGTCAGTTCCATTATTTAATCTGTAAAATGTTTGCATGGTAATTTTTCTCTTTTTGAATTGAATTTCTCTTTTTTTATTGCCCTATATTTTATGAAATAGTATGGAAAGAAACTGGTCATTGGTTTAATTAGATCATTAATATGGTTTACTTTCCAGAACCTAAAAGATAACCATCAGCAGTGGGATGTCTAGTATTTGTTATGTGCAAATGTAAATTGAGCATAGATTGAAAGAAGGGCCAAGGGAACACGACTGTGTTTTCTACTAAGGACTATCCAAAAGGGGAAGTATGGCATTAGATAACGTGCTGGATTCTGTAATGTCTTTTTACTGACTCTTGGTTTTATTTCAGAACACCTTAGTGTGCTGTGGCTATTTAAAATTTAAGGTAATTGTTTAAGTGAGACTGTGACTCTCCTCACTTTGATTTCTTTTTTGCAGATAACCTCAGGGATGGTAATAAGCACGTTTGTGTCTGCGCCGATCATGTATGTTTCTGCCTGGTTACTGACCTTTCCCACTATGGACCCTAAGCCATTGGCATATGCCATCCAGAATGTTAGTTTTGATATAAGTATTATCAGCTTGGTCTCCTTGGTAAGTATGTTTCAGTGTAAAAATGAATGAAAACCACAGAATGAGTTTGAGAATAGCTTGGTAATGGGAAGTTAGGGATTTAAAAATCTAATCTCTTATGCAATAGAGAAAGCCTAAAGCCTGCCCGTAAAATATAACATCAGCCTTCTGAATTTTGTCTTTCCAATTGGGAGTTAGAGTTGTATAGCCGGCAAGGTGTGAGATTTAGTCAGACCTGGATTTTTTTTTGTATGTGTGTGGTGGGGGTGAGGGAGACTGGCTCTGAGCCAACATCCATTGCCAATCCTCCTCTTTTTGTTGAGGAACATTAGCCCTGAGCTAACGTCTGTGCCCATTTTCCTCTATTTTGTATGTGGGATGCTGCCACAGCATGGCTTGATGAGCGGTGTGTAGGTCCATACCCGGGATCCGAACTTGTGACCCCTGAGCTGCTGAAGGGAAGCATGCTAACTTAACCACTACACTACCAGGCCAGCCCCCAGATGTGGATTTGACTCTTGGCCCTATCACAGACTAACTGTGTATCTCCACAGAGTTACCTTAAACTCTCTAAGTTTCAGTTTTCTCAGCTATAAAATAGAATAATTTTACCTATTTCCATGGGTTGTTTTAAGGATTAAATGAGACAATATATGTGAAAAGCATTCTGCAAATAGTGAATCACTATACAAATACTAGCTTTTGTAGAATCATGGGGCTGGAAGGGATGTTTGGGATCACGTCCAATCACCCATTTAATGTTAATGAAATTTTTTCCATATATCTAGCTCAAATTAAACACTTGACAACTACAATATCTTATAGATCAAGTTGCCTATTGAATTCAAGCAGTATTCTGGCTGAAGAAAAAGATAACTTATACTGTTAAAGGAAAGGAGGTGGGATGAAGATGTATATTGGCAACAGATAAATGTGTGATTAATGTAATTTTTAGGAAATTTCACTTCTGTTACATATTCTTAAAGTCTATGCCCATTGATAAGAGGGAAGTCTGGGGAGAGAGACAATATCAATTTTGATTGATAATGAGGGGAGAAGTAAAAAGGAAATCAACCAGCATACTTAGCTGGCCACTGTGTAGGAAGAACAGAAACCCAATCCTTTTAAATGTAAGGAATGTAAGACAATTAATCTTCAAGTGGGCAATGTGTATTGTTTGAAGTAAGACAGCCTGGATTTTAGATACCTCGTGAGCCAATATGTTGGAATCAAAAAAGGAAAACTTAGAATAGTGCGTTGTAACTGCATCTCCCACTGAAGCTCTTTTCCTGAATAGTTGGCTGTGAGCCTGTGTCCCACTCCAGCCACTGAAGGTAAGGGAAGTTAGAACATGGCCCTGGTCAAGGCATTAGTTCTCAAAGACCCCGTCGTTATTGGACAGTTAATTTACGATAGGATCTCTCCGTGCTTTTTATTTTACTTTGGATATAGTGATTTGCCTTAATACCTTTTTGGGAACTAGACAAGTTAAAGTAAATAAAATATTGGAGTTTCTTTCTGAACCAGGATAAAAAGGATTCTTTAAAGAGGCTAATCAATGAGTTATTTAATAAGTAATTATAAAGATTAAAAAACCTGAATAACTTTTGAACCTTTTTTCTTTTAAGATCTGGTCGTTGGCTATACTTCTTTTGAGTAAGAAATATAAACAGCTTCCTCATATGCTTACAACTAATTTACTCATTGCTCAGGTTAGTAAACCTTACAGATATGTAGAACTATGCTTTCCTTATCAATTATACTACAATAAAGGAGAAAATTACTTTGCTGAGTTTTTCCACTGATAAAGTCAGGAGTATTACCAAATGTAATCAATTACAATTTGATTACAATTAATTTATGCCTAATTTATTAATTATTGCAATAGGTCTTGAACTATATAAAGTTGAGGCTAATGGCATTCAATGATAATTTTGCATTTTTAATAGAAATAATTGAATCATTAAAAATTGAACTCTCACTATCTTATTTTTCTAGTTAAATTTTTGTATGTCGCAAATTATAATAGAAAAAAGTTTAGTATTTTCTATGTAAACCATTACTAAATATCAAGTTAGTATTTAGGATATTGTCATGTGTTTCCATTAAATATGTACTTTGTTAAAGACTCTGGATAGAAAGGGTTTTTTTATCATAAAACTTGAAGTTTTAGTATAACTGGTACGTAACAGTTGATAATTACTCAACAATAATTAAAAATGAATAATTATATTTGCTGCGAATAAAACATATGAAGATGACTCATATGAGTATGACTGACTTTGGGTTTTTTAATCATTTTTTTCTTCAGTCTATTGTCTGTGCTGGAATGATGATATGGAATTTCGTTAATGAAAAAAATTTTGTTGGACAAATTCTGGTGTTTGTTCTATTGTACTGCTCCCTCTATAGCACCTACCTGTGGACAGGTAAGTTGGATCATGAATGGAAATTTAGGTCTGTCCCTCTCTCTTCTATCACTGGAAGCCCTCAGCTTCTGGTGATCTACTTGAAGTGGAGTAGAGCGGACTGAGCATTCACTCAGGCAGTCACACCCACAGACATAGGCAGTCTGCAAAGGTGAGTTCTGTTTCCTGATGCACTCTATTTCTGCCAGGGCTCAGAGGGCTTCCAATCACGTGGTCCTTTTCCTCAGGGTCTTAGGCTCTAGGCCACGGGCAGCACAGATTCCCTTTGGAGACCCCAAGAGGGCAGGCGCTGGAGGCAGGTGGAAAAAGGAGGGAAGGGGCAGAGAGGTGTGGGGCAAGTGAGATGTGTCCCAGAGCTCACTACTGGAGTCCAACTGAACTGAATGAAAAATTCTGGCTCTGCCTTAAGCAGAAGACTTCACTTCTGCAGCCTCAGTTTCCTCATCTGTAATACTGGGTTATTGTACCTTACAGGGTTATTTTGAGAATTAAATGAAATATTGGTATTTATGCCTGGTACGTGGTAGGCACTCAACAAGTGGAACTGTATTGTTAAATACAGGGAAAAGCAGTAATATGAGAACAAGAAAAGTAAGGGAATAAAAGGGCATGGAAATAGAAGAGTACCCAGTTAAGAAAGACTATTTCTCATTTCAACAGGCTCCAAAAGGGATATTCAAAATGTTTTAGCCCATTGCTATTTTGAAGTATAAGATTTGTTTGGATGCATACATTCTGGCATGTTTGTGGAACATTCTGTCTCGCTGTTCTGTATTCATACCGTGAATGGGAACCTGTAAAATGGCACATGAAAGGAAACTGTAGGATGGTAGGGCTGGTTACAGCTACTGTTAGAAGGCAGGTGTCAGGAAGTGGCTACGAGGGCTAGGCCTTTGATTTCATGCCTTCAGGATCAAAAGCAGGGCCCATCTAAGTCAAGAGCCTTTTGAAGTGAAGCAACAATGTGGTGAGGAATTACAGAATGAAAAATTCAGTGCACACAGGAGAAGGTGTATGCCTTTTAAAGGCAAGTACACCTTGCATAGCATAAGAGTTTTCATGAGATGTCAAGTTAAAAGAGCCAAAAGACTTCATTTCTAAATACAGATGAACCAGCTTGATCTCTAATATTGAGGTTTATTAAGTCTAAATTTATAATAAGAATAAGAGAGCAGCAAATAGATCAATGTATGAAAAAGCTCCAAGTCTCCCTGAAGTCCTCTTCAAGCATGCATGCCAAATCTATCCAAAGACCATGTTCTGAATTCCCTGACCCCAATGAAGGTACCCTTTCATCTTGAGATTATTATAACAGAATTTTAGACCTAAAGTGTCGTTTTAAATCATCCTGTTCAGCCATTTTCAATTTCACTCATTTGCATACCATCCCACAATTTTTGCCATATCTGCAGACCACCTCTCCTTTTTTTTTCCTTAAAATTGACTCACTTTTTTTACTGTAATAAATTGGGCTTTAAATCAGTAAAATCCCAGGTTTCATGTGCTAGTTAAAATTTTTTCAAGCACATGGTAAACACATAACTAGTCAAAAGTTTTCACCCCTGTGCCACCTGTACTCTCTACACTTTTGGAAACACTGGTTTTGCAATGAGGAAATTATTTTGCAAATGAGGAAAATAAAGCCCAAAGAGTTGAGCTGATTCAGGCAGGAGCTCTCATGGCTTGTCAGTGCGAGATCTTGGGCTAGATGGGGCCTGTTCATTTTGCAAATGAGGAAAATAAGGCCCCAAGAGTTTAACTGATTCAGGAAGGAGCTCTCACGGCATGTCAGTGAGAGATCCAGGGCTAGATGGGGCCTGTTCCTACATCAGTCTTTTCACGAGGCAGAAATGATGAACATTAGAACTTTGAAGAGTACCCTGGCTACTGTGAAACAGTTGGCACATTTTTGTGATTGGTTACTTGTTTCCCTGGCACTTTGAAAACATGAAACTATCGAGTGTACAAATGTGTTTAGGGAGGAGCGGTGGTAGTATAATGTCTCTTGAACTTGAGTAATGTGTGCGTCCTCTGTAAAGAAAAACAGTTCTCAAGGACCTTGGTGTTGATTTATATTATTTCCAGCACAGTGTTACTTAATCTGTACAATCTTAAATCTAGGTATGAATTCCTTCTATACGGCTAGTATACAACTTTTAAAACCAAAGCAAATTCACAGATGAGATTTAAACAAAACTACAAATTCAGTAATTCTAATTATTAACATTAATTGCCATGACAAACGATCTTGTTTTGCTAATCTGAATCACAGTTTGAAATGTAAAATGGAACTCACTTCTCTGGTTAGGGTTTTTTTAGTTCGGCCTGCCTTCACTTTGTGTGTGGGCTTGTGACCTGGTTATCTCACTGCTTTTCTCTCTTCAGCTTACCACAGAACCTTCATTTGGACCGCATGTTGTGATGTCATTTGGCCTTCACTTGGCTCAAACTTAATATAAAATCAAATGTAAGCCCTGAAATCAGGAGACTATACTTTGGTTATAAGATGGGCATCTAGATGATTATCATTGAAAATACGCCAAAAAGACTTCAAAGTTCTCATCGAAATTTCCAGATCCTAAAGAATATGTCTTAGGAACCGTAGGGGTCCACAGATCTGAGTTTTAGAAACACTAATGGAGTTGGACTTACCACAGAACAGAGGGCTGGGTTTCCGGTCCTGCTCTGCCCTCTGCTGGCTGTGTGGCTTGGGCAAACCTCTGTTTCTGTATCTAAAAAATGAAGATGTTAACTTAAAACAAATGGTCTCTCCCAACCCTAAAGTTCTAAGATTCTATAGCTATGTAGAATTTATTAAATGTGATATTACTTAATAATAAATAATTAGGTATAAGGTGTAAGGAAAGCTCAAGAACTTTAAAACATTTGTTTTTGTATTAAGTTCATATAATATTTTATTAAGGTCCATCATTTAGACTTGGGGCACTTTCCAAAAACAGAACCTATATAAGAATTGCCTATACTATCTCAGCACCAGTAGAGTGGAGGGGTTTTTATTTTTATAATTATTCTGTGTCCAGCTAAAAAATTTTTTTCCCAAATATACTTACTTTCCAAACACATCTGTCAAAAGAATAAAGTGATCTGGGCTTTTGAAAAAAATCTTCATGTATAAAACAGGAAGATTTGAGTAAATAAACAATATAGGAGGGAAAACATCAATGATACTGAATTAAGAAAACTTCAAAACATTGGGGACAGTGTTTATTTAGAAACAGTACATTCTAGGGTAAAAACTACAGACTATTATTGAAATAAGCTTGGTTAAGGTTCTATGAAGTCTGATCAACATCAAGAGTAATTGTCTATTTTTCAATCTTGATTTCTTGTTCTTAGGCCTTCTAGCAATTTCTTTGTTTCTTTTGAAAAAGAGAGAGAATGTACAAGTTCCTGTTGGAATCATCATAATATCTGGCTGGGGGTAAGTCAGTAGTTTTCTGTTTGCTTACATATTTCCACGTATACAGTTACTATTCATCCTCTCCTCTCTCTCTCTCTCCCTACATCCTTGTTATTACAGAATTCCTGCTCTCCTTGTTGGTGTTCTTTTGATAACTGGAAAACATAATGGAGATAGCATTGACTCAGCCTTCTTTTATGGAAAAGAGCAGGTGAGAAGAGTTTATTGTTAGCTCTGTTCTTGAGAATGTCTCTTTTTAGCTTGTTAATGTATTTTGCTATACTTAAAATTAATTTTGGAAATCTATTCCAACTTATTGCATATCACTGGTGATCTTATATCATTTTGTTAAGTCACAACTTAAATATGGTGAAGATTTTACATGTCTAAGTCTGTTTTTAGCTAAGGATTTCGAAGTGTTTGAAACTTATTGGGTCTTCTTAAACACACTTAGAATTATGTTTCCTCTACTAAAGGAAAGAGTGATTAATTTAAAATCATTTAATAAGTTAGCGGTAATAGTATAAGCCAACTTCTTGACTTTCAATCCTATCATAGATATAAATTTCAGAACAAAAAGTATCTGGGAAAAAGTGTGCTTGAAAAGCTATAGAGTAGAAGGCTTGTGAGACCTGCTAAATCAGAATTCTCCAGGTGAAGGGCCCAAGGATGTGTTTTTTAAAAACCTTGTCAAATGATTTTGATTTTTTATCCTTTTTTCTGTTTTGTAATTTTTAATTTTTGGAGTTGTGAGAATAAATAAAATCATACATATAAAGGACTTAGACTAGTGTAGCATATAGTTAGTATTCAATAAGTGTTAGCTATAATTTTTTATTTTTAGTATTATTACCATAAAAAGTCTCAGTTGAAGTATGCTTGAACTATGTATTAAAGCAAGCAAAAACTTTAAAGTAAAGAAAAGATCTGTAAGCAATCATTTAGATTACTTATAGAGGAAACCAATGACAATGATGTATAGAAGGAAGCATCTAGAAATCTTACATGATTACAAGCAAACCGTAATTTCTCTACAAGTAACTTAGATCCCTTCCATACTCTTACTCTGTTTTAAGAACCACTGTTCTAGAGCATTTATATCTGTGGAGATATTGCATTTTCCACCAAAAAAGTGCCCTTGACCTACTCCACTAAGATTGTCAAGATGAGATTGTGAGAAGTGTCTTAACATCTTTTTGCAACGTTGGCAGATGATCATCACAGCAGTCACCCTGTTCTGCAGCATCGCGATAGCCAGCATAGCACTCATGTGCATGAACCGCACCACCCACGCAGGCCGCTACGAAGGTTTCCACCCGTCTCAGCACCACAAAGCAGCAGAGCCTGGGAATGCTGCTTTTGAGGAGAGTCCAGTGCCCATAAGTGAACCCGAACTTTTTACAAGTTCTATCCCAGAAACAAGTATGATCTTTAAATATAAAGGAACTCTTACATGCCTCTATGGCATGTATCCAAAATGTTTTGTTTAAGGGAACTTCCTTAACTATCTTGAATATAATAGGTATTTGTCAAATGAGGAACTTGAATCATATTCAATAATAGAAAGAGCTTGCAAGTTCTTTAGATTTATAAATCTTTTTTGAGAATAATCTTTTCTTAAATCCTAAGACTTCCTTGGGCCTGAGAGTTTAGAAAAAAGTAACAAGGGAAGGAAGGTCCTTTCTGGGAACTAAGCACCTCCATTTGTTAATTTAACAACATTGTATCAGGCAGGCACCATCAATAAAATGAACAAAAGGAGGCCCGATTGAAGTGGGTTAAAGGTAAAAGTCAGGAGTTGGCAAACTACAGTCTGCAGGCCAAATCTGGTCCGCCATCTGTTTTTGTATCCAGCCCAAGAGTTAAGAATACTTTCTACATTCTTAAAGGGTGGAAGTAAAATTTGTAGAAGACAAATATTTTGTGACACTTGAAAGTTATATGAACTTTATTGTATTTTTGTGTGTGTGTGTGAGGAAGATCAGCCCTGAGCTAACATCCATGCTAATCCTCCTCTTTTTGCTGAGGAAGACCGGCTCTGAGCTAACATCTATTGCCCATCCTCCTCCTTCCCCCCCCCCACAAAGCCCCAGTGGATAGTTGTATGTCGTAGTTGCACATCCTTCTAGTTGCTGTATGTGGGACGTGGCCTCAGCATGGCCGGAGAAGCGGTGCATTGGTGCGCGCCCGGGATCCGAACCTGGGCCACCAGTAGCGGAGCGCGCGCACTTAACCGCTAAGCCATGGGGCCGGCCCAATATATGAACTTTAAATTGCAGTGTCCATAGTGTTTTTGGAACACAGCCATGCTCTTTCATTTATGTATTGTCTATGGCTGTTTTCACACTATATTGTGGAGTAGTTCAACAGAGATCCAGTTGCCTGCAAAGCCTAAAATATTTATCATCTGGCCCGTTACAGAAGATGTTTGCCAATCCTCGGTATAAGTGAAAATATCCTGACCAGTAACTTTGTTAATAAGTGTTAACAATTGTTATGGGGTTTGCTTCAATTCATGAAGGGAACTCAGCAACCGAGTATGCATTTCGGATTCATTGGTACATGTGGAGATTTCATAGATATAAAACATGGTGCTAGGAAGTGGCAATGATGGTCCCTATTTTGTTTAGAGTTTGTGGAGTAGAGGGAGGACTAATCTCAAAACTATTAGTTTAAATATCAATAAGTAAAGGATATGAAGAAAGCAAAAAGAGAAAAAAGATTAAAAAAACATTTTAACTATCGTTATCTTAAAAGGAAGAAAATCCCACAAATCGTACCATCTTATATTGCCTTCCTTCTCCCTCTCTCCCTTCCTCCATCCCAAACTGGAAGTATATAACACAGCAGTTAAAAACAGGGATCTGGAGCCAGCCTGCCTGGGTTCCAATCCTGACTCCACAATTTACTACTATTGCTTTTGGGCAAGTTCCCTGTGCCTCAGTTTCCATATCTGGTGCTGATAATACCTACTTCATAGGCCTGTGGAGTCCTACTACACAGGACTGTAGTTTGCCAACTCCTGACTTACACCATTATCCCTGCTTCAGTCAGGCCCCCTTTAGTTCATTTGATTGATGGTGCTCACTAATTTCTTTGTCAGATCCTTTGTGAGTATATCGACAGAATTGCATTCTTTGGAGCCCTCTTGACCATTTTGCCTTTTAAGGAAGTTCAAGGATTATATTTACATTTTCACTAAAATTTTAAAAGCTGTTTTCCCTAAGTCTGAAGTACTTTTCTGATCATGCCCAGCATCCTTTCCTTACTCACTTTCTTTGTGAACTCTTACGTTTATCCTATAAACCCATCTACTGTTTGTTTTCAGGCAGGGCTTAAAGACCACCACTTCTGGCTGGCTCTCTCTGTCTTCTTCTCTAATGAGTGGTTCAGAACTGGCTACAAAAGGCCAGAGAGCAAGTGCGGGGAGCCCTAAACTAAGTGTCTTAAGCCCAGAGACTTTTGCTGCTACCTCTTTACCTGTTTTTTAAAAATAGCAAATAAACTCTACCATAGATCTTCCTTAAATCCTGCCATCGTCATCTCCAGCAGGAAAACTAGCTTGCACCGTCAGTATAAATAATGGAGGTTTATAAAGGAACCCACTAGACTGTTAAGTGCTGTGTCTGACTTGCCCATCGTTATGGCCTCAGCACCTAGCATACTATCAGGCTTACTGTAAGTGTTTAGTAACATCTGTTACATGGATGGATAATTGGGTGGGTAGGGAAGATACACTATGATCTTCTGAAGCTACTCTGAAAACTGCCATGGCAAAGTTCTTGTTTATTTGTTTATTGACCCATGTTCCTAGGGAAAAGGTTTTTAAACCTGTCTGGTTATTTTCCTTCCCTAAATCCTGCTGTCTTTTGCTCTGCTAGTATTATTAACACATAACACATTAGATGTCCAGCCTGGCCTCCCCAGATCTCAATAATCCAAAGTAGTTCACTTACCTCTGCTCCTTGCTACATATTTGTCAGAGACCTATGATTTGCACATGTTGTAAGTGTGGAATTATGATTGAAAGGAAAATTAACCTATTTTAATATGAGGTCAAAAGTTCAGTTCTAAAGAGAAGGCTAATGGGCTACTTCTATATCCTTATGTTTGAAGGAAAAAACTGCCATAGCACTTTTCATGGTGGCTGTAATCGTGTGTGTGTGTGTGTGTGTGCGTGTGTGTGCGTGCGTGTGTTCTGTATACATACATTACTGAAATAGGTTGGCTTTATGTCTGTTTTCTTAACAGTTTTATCTTAGCTGATTTTAGCCTTCAGGTTTCTAAAGAGGAGGGGGCTGGGCCAGATGATCTCTGTATTTTCTTTTCTATTATTCTGTGGTTCTATTTTAACCTTGAGATGGCATCATTATCTTAAATTTAGAAAGACATTTGTGATAGGTTATTATAGATTGTAGTTTTTATACTTTGAAATCTTTTTTTGTTTTTAAGAACACTATGGAAGAATTAAAGCATATTATCAATGAAAGGTTCAGCCTAGACATTATTCCACTTTGTAGCATATTAAATTTTAATACAGTTTATCACTGAAGTTATTGTTCTATTATAATCCATGTCAAGAAGTGCCATGTCTGTATATGTGCGAAATGTTTTCAAGGATACTGCATGCTCTCTGACTAGAGGAGAAATTACAGCTCTATAGCAGACACCTCAGCGTGACTTCTGTGAACCAATCTACCTACAAACCAGCAAAGATTTTCAACAATATGTATTTGATAAGAAAAAAGAATAGAGTTTTTACTGCATCTTCTAGACTAGTATGAGATACTTTCTTGAAAGAAATGAATCTTGAGCTGAACTTTAAGGGAGGAGAGGACTTGGATGAATTAACAAGAGTGGGAATTCCATGCATGTCACACTAGGCCTGGAGACCCACATATGCGTGAGGTTTATGGAGAACACTGAAGAATTGTCCTGAAAGAAGGGAAGGGCCCTTGTTGAGTACTAGGGGTGGCTGGATAGGGAGAGAGGGGCCAAGTCCTAGAGGGCTTTCAAATTCAGGCCAAGGAGTTTGAATTAACTGCAGTAAGCAATAGAGCATTAGTGCCTGTTTTTGAGGTGTGATGAAATAAAAGCTGTATTTTAGGAAAGTGTTCAAATTCTTAGTTCCCAAATCATGGTGGAAAACAGCATGGGTAAAAACTTCTTTCCGGGGCCGGCTCCGTGGCTTAGCGGTTAAGGGCGTGCGCTCTGATGCTGGCGGCCCGGGTTCGGATCCCGGGCGCGCCCCAAGGCACCACTTCTCTGTCCAACGCGAGGCCGAGTCCCACGTACAGCAACTAGAAGGATGTGAACCTACGACATACAACT